GGGGGGGGGGGGGGGGGGGGGGGGGGTATCGGAGTCAACCACCCGGCCACAAAATGTTGAGAGGCGTTGTGGGGTCCTCGTTGTGCACGGCTGCAGCGTGCTTGCCGCGGGGATGACTGCGTGTGTCGCTGGCTTGTTTGGAGAAGGATGCAAGCGAATGCCCGCAAGGGTTTGCGACCAGCTGTTTAGGCACTTATTAACAGTTCATGATAGAATCTTTCTCTTTGACTGGGGCAAGCACCGGAGAAGATTGGCCGTGTGTGACCCCTGCTGCCACGACCGCTGTAAACCGAGAGGAAAGGCTCGACGTGGAGTACACGGCGTACGTGACAAGAAATCATCATTAACAACGGCATTACAGTAGCATCAGCAGCAGAGAACAAGGTAATTGACCACCGTTCCGTTGTTGTCCTCGTGTCGCTTGGGTTTGCTGCGGCCGGGGGGGGGGGGGCGTTCTTTCGCAGGGGAGCGCTGCCGCTTGCCCTCCACGAGGAAGCCTTCTCGTGCCTGCTCAACTCGGTGGGACAGCTGGGGTCCGGATTGCCTTGCTCTGTGGACCCGAGGGTTTGGCTGCTTGACGAGGTGGTGAAGTGCCTCAAGGAGCGCAAGTCGGTCGTCCAGGTGAGACCAGCTGCGTGTATTTTTTCCGCTAGGGGGAATATTAGCCCTACACGTAGACATTGTGGGGTCCACGGCTACACGATACGTTCCATACCGAACTCGCCACCACTTGAAGAACCTCTACATAGTTTCGGCCGAGGGTGGGGTTCTTTTCCGTATTCCTAGGGTCATGCTACGATTGGTCGTTATATAGGTATAGTATAGGGGTTCTTAACCGAGCTCCCTAAATGATGCTCAAGTGCTTAAACTTTGATATTGTCGAGGCTCAATTTCTTAACTCCTGAGTCCTTCAGTGGTGGCGAGTTCTGTAGTAATGGCGTTTTTTTCCCCGCTGACACAGACGTTTTTCTATTAGGAAACCGGTTCACGCGCGGTCGGTACTCGTTACAGAAGCACAAGCACGCCGCACATGTGACTACTTCGAAGGCTCCTGCACCGACTGGCGCCACCGCATTCTAGACAGCAAATTATTCGTGTCGTCTAGTTTTCGACTCTGCTGGAGAAGGAGGGAAGCAAATGGTGCAACGACTCGTACTCACAAGAGAAACGTGCCGTGACATGTTCCGAGGAAAGCAAGTCGGTTGCCCAGTGCAGGCGTGCTGGAACACGAGAGGAGTTGAACGTGCTGAGAAAGGCTTGGTGTTGTGATCAGCACAGGGGGAGCGGGGCCGTGTAGCTTGTGTTGAGTATGACCGCATAGGTGCAAGAATAGTATGCGGCGCGTAGTTTGCGATATGATGCTCTCTTTGTCCCTTTCTCAGTAGGGTAGCGCCAGGGTGGGAAAGAACGATGTCGTGGAGAATGCACCAAGACTGCCCCTGCTTTGTTTTCTCCTTACGCTTCTCGTCCTGCCCTCCTCCCCACCGCACGCGGCGATCGCATTGCTGTCCGTTCTTATTGCTCCACACTCTGTAGGCACTGCGGGTGCTGCGAGCTCTTCTTGAATCATTCCGGCACTTTGCGATAATGGTCGGCCAGGAGTTTGGTCCCTCCAGGCCTGGCCCCGCGGCCGCCGCGGCAGGCGCCGCGCCCGGCGTTAGCCACGATGCCGCCGGTGGCAATGCCGCGGGAAATGGGAGATCAGAGCAGGAAGGGGGGGTTCTGCGAAAGAGAGAACGGAGAGGGGGGGAGGAGGGTGTTCCTGTGGCAAATGACGACCTGGCTTCTGTTAGTGTTGCCCCTGCTAGTGCTGCCGGGGAGGGGGAGTCCACGTCGCCGCCGGCATCGGAAAAGTTTAGCAGCCGGAGGGCCAGGAGGCCGCCGACCCTGGTGCCGACGAAGGGGATCGTGGTGGCGAAGGCGATGGGGGTCACGGGGCTGGCCCTCGCGGAGCTCATGCAGTACAAGGCAAGTCAGTGGTCTTTGGTTTGTTGGTGTTGTTATTGTTGTATATACATCGTTTGTTTGTTTTTCAATAGTAGTTACCATCCAGTAGACCTCCTTGTGGTCCTTTCGAGCCAGGCCAACGCAGCATGGTCGTTGCTGTTGTTGTATTACATTTCCGTCATGCAGTTCAAGGCACCGCAGCATAGTCGTTGTTGTTGATGATGATGTGGTTTGCCTTGACGTCGAAAATCAATTCTTGTTGCCATCCAGCACCTCGTTGTGGCTGCACTCGTTCGAGCCAAGACAAAGATTTAAGTTTCCGTGGGTACAAGCTGTGAGCCAGGATCGGGTAACAGCAGTAGGCTAAAAATGTTGCGCGTGTTTCTATTCTGCGATCGTCTTGATGCCATTGCCTCTCGCGGAACATACGTGAGGACAGCACGCAGGTCGGTGCGTGTCGGCGTTGTCTGTCCCTGCGATGATTTTCGGCGTTAGGGCTCCCGGGCTCCGTACAACTTCGAGTGGCAGTTGTTGTTGAGGGGTTCGTCTTGTCAATTATGAGCCCCGACCTACACCGTGCGGTGTATACATATTGGATGCACCAGCCGGACTCTCACAGGAGGAAGCTTAACACAGGGGGGTTGTTTCTTTTGCAGACAGATGTGCACATCGAAAATGGGGTGGATATGGTCACGGGGGTATCTCAAGAGCGTGGCAGATACACGGCAGCGCATGGGTACTGAACCTATCTCGAACGTCGAGTTTTGGGAGGTGATTGGAGGAGGGGGGCGTACTAATTTTTTGCATGCCATAGTTTGGTAGACCTTTGGCCACATGTACTGGGGACGACGGAGCATTGTTCCCGCAGGACCGATCACCGATGGCCAATCGTTCCTAATTGTCTACGAAGGGTATGGAGATCACGAAAGAACACGTTGTGCC